GCACCCCTATCGCCTCGTTTTAATAGAGGTCCGAAGTGCGCTAGTGTGGGAGAACAATGGCGAACATACGACACGCCTGATACACCCACAATAAATTTATACGATCCCCATAGGCCTCCTAGTCGTGTCGATTAATATGTCCTCAATGAAAGCAGCAGACACACTAACTGATCACAGTGATGTACAGACATAAAATATCAAGCAGTAGACACACTAACTGATCACAGTGATGTACAGACATAAAAATACCAAGCAGCAGACACACTAACTGATCACAATGGTGTACAGACATAGGAATACATACACATGCGACACCCATGTATACACGCTGTTTTCCACTCACTCACCAACATAGCCTTCTGCGCATTCGAGTCGAAGGCCACCACCATGTACCCGGTGTTGCCAAGCACCCCGCGAACAGAACACAACCAATTCTTCGCCAACTTCAGGTACGAGTCCCCGGTGAACCCGATAACAATGGTGTTGTCTACCGCTCTCTGTGAGTGATATGGGTTTAAATAAGTGAAAGATTCAGTACCACGTGTAGGCTCGATCAACTGCAGCTGGTTGGGGGGTGCAAACAGTTCCTCGGCAGTTACATTCACATATGTCCGTATCCCACCGGAAGTATCGCTCGAATTGATTGGATACCGTGTACCTGTGAGTTAAGCCTATACGTATTAGATACACGATCAGGTCGTCACAAGCCGCCCGACTGTCTCTGTATCCCTTATGCGTGCTGTTTCTCGCTACTGTCACCAATCGTCACGAGCGCTTCATTGACACACTCGGCAACGTGTGCTTTCTCGCGAGCCACTGTTTTGGTGTGCACGATATCACAACCCTATAAACCCTTACAACAGAAGTTGTTCGCACGGATGCAACCGCACCGATACCATCCGAACCAAAGACGGGCATTCGGCAAATACATATACATGCCCACACACGGTTGCCTTCAAAAGTCTGAGATCTTCTTATTCGATGAGGACACCGACAGGCATGCACATCGCCTGGACATAGAACATACAGATGACAGTACACGGCATACCACGCAAACTTACCTCTGTAAG